AATGAAACAGCATAATGAAATAAGAGAGAGTGTGGCTGGCCAAAGATCCTAAAAGGGATATAACTGCAGGCCTGACAGTGGCTTTATTCCCATGTGGACCCTGCTTTCTTAATTGTTCTTGTCTTCTGGCAGCTGGGAACATGCGCACACTGGGAACAGGCTCCAGCTGTTCCTCTGCCTCACTGCTGTCTAGCTCCCTCTCTGCCTCCGACGCAGAGCCCTCGTCCGAGCTTTCCTCAGCCCCCAGGACTGGCCCATGTTCCTCCCCAAGTGGGCTTCAACTACCAGAATTCTTCAGCCAGCCATACTGACACGTGCCACATTTGCTGGCACGACGGCCCTCGGCAGCTCTCAGCTATTTCAACCTTCCGGAGAGTTTTCTTCCGGCCGTTTTCGCCCTCCCCGGGCTTCAGGAAAGACTAGGGAATTCTGGGAGTTGAAGTCCACAAGTTGCCAAATCTGAAGACCCCTGAAATAAACGATGAAATATTTCAAACCGCCTTGTTTTTTGCTGGGGTTCCTCATGCTTGGAGAGATTAACACCAAGATCAGGTTTTCTGTAGACATTTTACCTCGGGTTTCAGCAAAACAACCTCCAGCACAACTATCCACATTGTTAATCTTTGTGTGGGATGCATCATTCCAAACCATCAGTTCAAAACTTTCAAAACAACCACCCCAAAAAATCCAGCCCCTCCTCCACCAGATCCCTCCCCCCCCCCCCCAAAAAAAAAACCCTCACAGAATTCAAGTGCCACAAGGCAGCCTCCACTTCTGGACTCTTGTGAGGGTACTGATCTGGTTGATCCTGGAGAACCACAATAATATGTATAAAGAACCTTTCATTACCCAACTACTTTTCCAAGTATTTTTCGCAGCATAAGACACACCCTTTTTCCTTAAAAAAAAGGGGGGGGCTGAAAATCTGGGTGCGTCTTATACACCGAATACAGCCTCCTGAAGCCCTGCCCCCTTCACCAAAATGGCCGTGCATACCCTTATGGAAGCTTTCAGAGAGCTCCTGGGGGCTGGGGAGGGTAGAAATGAGCCACAAATGAGTCATTTTTTTGCTTGTTTTGGCCCCACCCCACCCCCCAGGCACTCTCTGCAAGCCCCCCCAGGGCTATTCATGCCTTTTTTTGAAAAAACAAAAACCGCCCATTTTCATGAAAAATGGGCCGTTTTGGGAGGTTTGCAGAGTGCAAAATCTTTTTCCCCCTTTTGTAAAGCTCTTTAACTGATTGATGAGAATTACATTGATCAGGTGCTGTGCCAGCAGAAACACCTACCTATCTACTGTATTTCTCTATTTCTCTCTCTCTATCCCTCTACCTACCTACTTCCCTATCTAGCTACCTACACACACACTCTCTCTCCCTACCTACCTACTGTATTTCTCTCTCTCTATTTCTCTCTCTCTCTATCCCTTTATCTACCTACCTAACTATTCTCTCTATCCCTACCTATCTACTCTCTCTCTCTCTCTCTCTCTCTCTCTCTCTCTCTCTCTCTCTCTCTCTCTCTCTCTCTCTCNCGCGCCGACAAAACCGCGCGACGAATGAGCGCTAAAACGCGCCGACAACAGCGCGCTGACAGAAGCGCGCTGTACCCTAACCCTAAACCTAACCCTAAACCTTACCTTAACTTAAATCGCGCTGTTGTTGGCGCGCTGTTGTTGGCGCGCTTTTGACATCGCGGTTTTAGCGCCGCGGTTTTGTCGGCGCGCTTTTGACGTTCGCGCTTTTGTCGGGTCACACTCTTTTGCAACCTTTTGACAAAGTCAGTGGGGAAGCCAGATTCACTTAACAACTGTGTTCTTAACAAACGTCATGATTCATTTAACAAACTGTGGTAAGAAAACTCACTTAACAATTGTCTCATCTAGCAACAGAAATCTCGGGCTCAATTGTGGTCGTAAGTCGAGGACTACCTGGAATTGTGGGCATAAGGGCAAGCCATCTGAGGCTGCAGATGCTGAGTTCCAACTGACCTTGAACCCACCATGTCACAGTCCTGAGAAGGGAACACAGATAGTCCTCGACTTGCGACCATAGTGGAGCCTGCCCATTACGGTCGCAAGTCATGATGGTTGCAAAGCGAGTCACCCATGCGTCTGACCCAATTTTACCATCTCTTTTGCGACATGTCAAATGAATGCCACTGTCCTAAAGTGGACCCATTGTTCACTGTCAGCGGTTTCACCGAAAACCAGAAATAAATGCCGCTTTATAACAAAACCATCATAAAATATAGTCGTGACCATGGGCCGCTGAAAATGGCTGTAAACGCAAGTCTGTTGCCAAGCAACCCACATGCAGTCACATGACCATGGAGCGGGGGGAAGTGACTGTCACAACTTTGGAAATGGATTGTTAAGAATCCCCGAGGGAGATCCGTCATAAATTTGAAGCTGTCCTAAATCAAGGACTACCTGCACCATGAAGGCACCTCAGAAGATGGAGGCAACAACTGACGGGCTTGTTGGTTTCTTTTTTGGATTGCAATTGTTGATTCCATCACTTTTGATAGATGTCGCTTCCATACTGTGCAACCCAAACGCCACTCTGTCATTCTGTTTCCATGTAGACAATGGTTGGCTATCCAGAAATTGAGGAGTAAAATCCGGAAGAAAGTGGACACCAAGGCCAGTAAAGGAAGGAAAATCCGGTGAGTAGAAAGAGGCACACCGTTTTTCTGTTCTCTTAACTTCTGGATTCTGCCACTCCCTTATATGAAAAAACTAAGCATAATTCTGTTACAAACAATTCTCTTTAGTTCTTTAATTATTGTTTTTTTTCTCTGAACGTTAGTGTTCCTTCCATAAAAAGCATGAAGCAAAGTTGGTCTTTTATTCACACGACTGTGAATTCCTTTCATTCACAGTCAGCAAGGCCGAGTTTTTCCGAGGAATATTTATCAACACGAACCTTATCTCGCTCGGAGATCTTCCAGATAACAAGTTTCCAAACGTAGAGCAAGGCAACATTTGGCACAGTCTCTTATAGTCACAAAGAGAACTTTCCACTCTTGACACGACCGAAGGAATGAATTGTTTCCTGCAAAAGCCCCCTCCCCATTCACTCCTTTTTTGTTTCCTATGGGAGGGGCCAATCACCTGCAAGGTGTGGCTGTCAGCATTCCAAGTATCATGCAGAATTAAATCAGATTCCAAGGCAAAACGATCCTTAAAGTTCCAATTTTATAAGTCAGACATCTTGGCACATCTGTGGAATCCAGATTCTGGAAGTTACCTAGGATTCCCACCCAGTTGAAAGTTCATGATNCCGGTCACATGGGTGGCAAGCCACTCCCACAAAGGAGGCCACACCCACAGAGTAGGTTCCATCAATTTTTGAAACCCACCACTGGTGCATAGCCTTTAGGAGGCTTCCTGAGTGCTTCTGGAGGCTGGGGAGGGCAGAAATGAAAGAAAAACAGGCTGTTTTTGCTTGTTTCCCCCCCCCCCAGCCCCCAGGAGCATTCTACAAGCCTCCCAAAGCTTCTGCATACCCCACTCCACCCCCTTTTGGTTTTTGTTTTTTTGCAAAAAATGAAGTGTGCAGAGGGTTTTGGAGGCCTGCAGAGTGCAAAAACGTTTTTTTTTTTTTAATTACCTCTTCAAAATCATGGTGCGTCTTATACTCCGGTGCGTTTTATTGTCCCAAAAATACATTATATTGTGCAGTTGTTGTTTTTTTCTCTTCTTAGAATTGGGAATATAGAGAATTTGCCCCATGGCACTGCATTTGTTTGTGTTTTTTTTTTCCATTTCTAATCTCTAAAAGAACTTTACTCCTCAATTTAAAACCTTTTGTTTAGTGACGGAAGTTACTAAGCGGCAGTGAAAAAAGTGGCATGGCCATTTTTCAGACCATTACAGTATCCCTGTGGTTACGTGATCAAAATTCAGATGCTTGGCAAACTGACTCTTTTATTATCTTTTTATATATATTTGTTAGTTTATAGTATAAAATATAAAAATACAAAACCAAACAGTAGGAAAAATAGGGGAGGGAAAAGGGAAGGGAAAAGTGCAGAAAAGAAGGGAAAAAGAAAGAAAAGGTGTTGACTTCCAACTCCCTTTGGTGCAGTAAAATAAGATAGATGTCAAGTAGCACCTCCAACGAAAGAAGACTCCAAAGCTTGAAGTTCCTCAAAGTTCCATTTTATTACAGGTGTCATCTTGGCACATCTGGGAAAACCCGAATCTGAAAGCTTCCAGGTTTTCCCCACCCAATTGAAAGTCCAAGCCCCTGTCCAGCACCCACATGTCCATCACACGATCCAATCAAAGCACCATCCCAACTGGAGGTGCCTCCCAGTCACACCCCTCCAGATGCAGAGCAAGACGTCCTTGACTCTCTGAGAAAGGGATGTTGTTATGACTATATATATATATATATANGGATTCAAATAATTTAACAACCGGTTCTCTGCCCTAATGATTTCTTCCAACAACCAGTTCACCAAACTACTTAGAAAGTTACCAACCGGTTCTCCCGAAGTGGTGCGGATTGGCTGAATCCCACCACTGGCGTGGTCAACTGGGTGGGCATGGCCAGCTTGACGCCACTCCCCAAACTGCTGGCATGTTTCTTATTCACATTGGGTAGCCCGGGCTGAACCCACATTGGCTGGCCCCTTATGTTTTCTGGGACAACCCCATGGGCCAGATCCAGTGACATCATGGGCCGGATTCAGCCTTCTGTTTGACACCCCCTACCCTATACCATTTCAGACAAATGGTTATCGAAACTCTTCTTTAAAACTTCCAGGTTTTTTAAAGAACTGGGACAGGTTCACATCTCTTAGAGTTTGACCCGGGGGTGTCAAACTCGTTTTCATTGAGGGCTGCAACAGGGTGTGTTTGACGTGGGCGTGGCCAGGGTGGGTGTGGCCAGCTCACCACCATTCGTGTCGGGGGCGCCTGTGGTGGCCCCAGCGCTCTGCCAGAGAAAACGAACTCCCGAACTCCATTTTCGGCTGGGACGGCCTCCTGCAAACCTCTGTCAGCGAAAATGGAGCTCGGAAGGGCTACGTGCGTTTTCGCAGAGGCACCGTGGGCCAGCTCTAAGCACTCCGCGGGCCAGATCCAGGCCTTGAGTTTGACACCCCTGGTTTGACCATTTACAAGTGTTTCTGGAGCTCAGTGATAAAGGAACCCTTTGAACGTGGTGTTTCTAATTTCTTCAGAACTCAGTTTTTTTGGCTATCCTGCAAATCTCTCTCTTTTTTTTTATTCTGGTACATCACTTTGACATTTGGGTCAAGGAGAAAAATAGGACAGATGTTTTTTAAAAGTTTCTTTTTTTACCTTCCGCGTTGCGCCAAAGAGTAAAACCGCCAAGAAAGAGGAGTTGTAATTACAAACATTTTTATTTTCAGACCCCAAACGGCACTGCTTTCATCTGATTTACTTGTTGGGGAGCCCCGGATCAGGGAGGCAAATCTCAAAATCCAATTACCGCAATCTTAATATAATCTTAATTGCTGTAATCTATTTTATTGTAAAGTCAGATAAATGTGCAGTGTAATAACTGCTTAAGTGCAGGGGCTGTTTTGGTCTCCGTCCCATTAAATTATAGTCGAGTGAAGTTACCCGAGTTATTCCAGCCAAACCACCAAATATATTTGACATCCAACACCCGAAACTCGGGCAATATTTTAAGAAGAGCGAAACCATTTTGCCAATGCACCTGAGCCTTTTTTTTTAATGCATCCAGTAGTACTTGTTTTTTTCCAGTAGTGAGTTGCTGTTTCAGCCCTTTGAATCTCTCTTTTTTTTAAAATCATTTTGGTTTTTTTTAACACATTTCCTATGCATTAGCCAGCGGCTGTTATGAAATAAATATCCTTAATTAAACACGAGGGTTTTTTTTAAAAAAGGTGTATGTACCGTATTTTTCGGAGTATAAGACGTACTTTTCCCCCCGAAAAAGAGGATAAAAATCTGGGTGCGTCTTATACACTGAATACAGCATTTTTGGCTGCCTGGAACCCCATCCCCTTTGCAAAAATGGTGGTGCATAGCAGAGGTGGGTTCCTACCAGTTCGCACCTATTCGGTAGAACCGGTTCGTCAAATCTACCGAACCGGTTAGAAGAGGCTCCACCAGTGGACCCGGAAAGCAGGCCACACCTACAGAAGAGGTTCCAAAAAATTTTGAAACCCACCACTGGGGTGGGGGTGAACTGGATAGTTACATTAATGGAAGGTCAGGCATAGCGCAGTGATCAGTTTCGTAGTGAAGGGACATAATAATAACTTGCTATTTCGCTTCTGTAAGAATTGCTTTGCTCCTGTAAGAATTAGAATTGCCTCTGCCATTTACTTCTACCAGTGATCTAACTCCTGCTATTTTGGTTTTTTTTTTAATAACTCGGAGCCTGGTACATATCTGAAACAAGAAGCGGGGTATGTCATAGCTTGGCAGGATTACATCAGGCAAATACCTGTGTTGCTAAGCACTCAGTCCCTCTGTTCCTTGCTGCACAGCCAATGCAGGTCTACAAGGAAGGCATGGGCCAGGGGGGCAGAATTGGGTACTCAGCTGATGTCTC